AACTGCCAGGGCTTTAAGGATTCTCAGAACTCCAGAGCCCAGAACTCATCTCTGTTCACTGCTCTGGTTTTGGGAGGCAGAGGCCACCAACTACCTAAATTAACAACAGCTGTGAAAGAGACACAGCAGTAATCTTCAAAGCTGCAGAGATGAACAAAGAACCATTCTGCAGTTGTTCTTCAAAACCCTGTTAATTCTGACTCTACATTTTACAAAATACACACAAATCTTTTGTTCATATTACATTCAAAATGTTTGGTTATGTACAGATACACGTTTTTAACAATTATGTGAACTGAAAAATTTTATTCCTGAAGCAGCTCACAATTTTGCTATTAATAATTTATGGCAGTGAAACAGATATGGTGGTAGTTATGGCTACTCTTAGAATTAAATTAATAAAATTTTCTTCAGTGTAAGAACTTGAAAAATAAGGGTTCTATATACCCTGGTTTATGCAAAAAGCTGTATTATCTGTAGTTTCTGCAACTAGGTTGGTATGTTTCGAATTATCACACGATGTTTTCACTTTCCCTGATTCTTCATCTCAACTTCATCTCAACTATCACATTTACTCCAAAGGCTTCACTTTGCTGCAGAGCAAAATGAATACATCTGGAATGGTTAGTTATAACTAGCTGTCCCATTTTTCCCTAAAACTAAAACTTTTGAGAACTGATGAGTAATCTACTTGACATATGTTAATATTATATTTAACAAGTGCAATATAAAATTACTCTCACAGTAGAATATACGAATTTTCATCAAATCCTAGGGTTGAACTGAAGAGAGCATATAAAAAATCCTCAAAAAAAAGAACATAAAATTGGAAGCTTTTTTTCCCCCCAAAAAGCTCCATATTGCAACTGTCCTGCATACATCACCATTATTGAAAGAAAGAGCAATGTAAACAAAGGGATGCATCTTAAGCAAAATGTAAAAAAATACTGACAAAGAACAGAAACATTTGATCATTAGATTTTTCTTGCTGCTGACCATAATAAATGCAATAATTTAAATTATCTGTTCAAAGATGTTGGAGTTTAAATATAAATCTAATATAAAACAAATTTAGTCCTAGTTACCAAAGGTACATGTGCAAAAATAGTAAATAACATCCACATTGGGTTTGCCTGCATGTAGTGTTTATGAAGCTATTCTGGAATAGGGGTTTTTTTGTGTGTGTAAACCGTGTATGTCCACTTGCAAGACTTATTATAATTGCTTTCTATAAGTTAATTACTTCAAAAGATCTGTCTAGGGTAGTTTAGTGTTGTAGACAATGCTTAGAAACAAAATTTCAATGTGGACTGCACGAATGTGTTTTAGCTAGTTGAAGAATATAAAAATTTTTTAAAGGGAAAGAGAAGCATTAGCATGGAAAAACACAACTACTGTCTTTAGATCCTATTTCAATAAGAATTTGTCTCGATCACCCCAACATCTGTTATCTGTAATCACTGTCCTGTCAGAACTATTTTAGCCCTTCATGATCCTGGTGTAGAGAAAACAGCATGATGGTAACTAAAACATATGCATTAGCAGCCAGAGAGAAAACTAAGCGTTATTCACATTTTAAACAACTGGTAATGGAAGCAATATACAACAAATGTATTGTCTGCGGTTAGTATTTCTGTTTGCCCTTGTATAGTCAACTGCAAACACTTCTGCTGAAGGAAGAAAGAATTGTCGCTTCTCTTCTAAAACAGCATCTCAAAAGATGCATCAAAAGAAAAATATCAGAGCAGAAACTATGTAACCAAGAATGAAGGAAAAGCATTAAATAGAGAAAATGACTGGAACGCAGCAGAGCATTTTGAATCAGGTCTTTCTCAGGGTGGAAAAGGAACAGGATACACAAGAATGAACTTAATTACTAAAATGCAGGAGGTCTATCTGCAGAAAAATATTTTATTCTATTAATACAAATTAGACTCCTAATTTTCAAAACTAGGATACTAGGAAAGACCAGGAGTAACCCTTTTAGAAGCATTTTATATTTCATATATTTCTTCAAGCTCAGTGATTAACTTGACATTTGGCAAGGTCATAAGGAGGTAACAGTATACCATATTAGATAGTTTGAAAAGAAATAGTCATGTATGACTCTCTGAAACATACATGCTTCTTGTTATCAAACAGACATACCTGCAGAAAGCTAATAGAAAGTTACTTTTCTGCTAGTTCTCTTAGAAAATATGAAAAGCATACTTTTCTTGTGATAAAGCTATATTACTAATATCTCAGTAGATGTGGTGAAGCATTGCCTTAACATGGTTGCCATCTACACCACTGAGAACAAGGCACTCAAAGAAAAATACTGTAAACTAGCAGATTGCAGTTCCAAAAAAAGAAGACAAACATTTTCTTTCCTCAGCTAAAGTGTTTTCCTCCTTCTCACAGAAGCTACAAATACCAAACATAAAAGAGGGCTCTAAAACCTCACAATTCTTGAGATTTTCACTTCTAATCCTTACAAGTAACACTTCATATTACTAACAAGAAAAGGTAAAAGAGCTAAGGTAATTCTAGCACCTTTCAGTTTAGCTTACTTTGCTCAGTCAAGCATAAGTTTAGTTTACAGATAAACAGTAAGAATCAAATATTGTTTGTACACATTAAGTGGCACACTGCAATCATCTAGTCCACCAGGGAAGCTGGACTTCCATCCCGTATCCCTTGAAGGGACTACAGGAGAGTTTATCAGCCCATGCCACCACATTTCAGAGGCTGGGGTCTTTCACAAAACAAAGATACCTCATTCCGTTCCTAAACTTGTGAAGGTTGTATGTAAACAGAAAAGTTCTAAGGGCTACCTCTTCAACAGCATTAAGCCAACTTGCTACTTGGATCCCACTCACAGTGATTTCACAGTGAGACTGGAAGAGTATGGGTTCCTTATCCATTTGCAATTACTCTAGAAAGTGTACAATGCAGTCTCAATGTAAGGATATACCTTTTCTTCTGCAGTACCTTGATGTTAACAAAAGAAAAATTATGAGAAAAAAAAAAAAGGATAGCATGGCCTGCCTTTACATGGCGACAGAGAAAAAAATTGACAACTATTTTTTTCCCTTTGTCTCACCTTCTGCGTCCTCTCCCCACTAAAAGGAAGTAACACGGTCCTGCCACTCTTTCTGAGAAGTTCAAGAAGAACACTAGACAAAAGTAGGGTCTGAGACCCTTTTAGAAAGAGCTAAACAAAGAGGAGCAAAAGTATCTGCAAGAGCAGAGGGCAGACCAACTCCAGCACAGCAGGAATTTTTCTTCAAGTGAGAAGGGCTAATCATGGAAGAAGACACATCTTTCTGTATTTCTACACACAGAAGGCTCATGGATGCTGTCCTATCTCTCACCTAGGCAACAAAATAAATACGTCTGTGGAGATTCAGCATATCTTCCAAATAAAGTATGGTGTGTGACTCTACTGTGACTCTCAAAGAAAATGGTAAAATAGAATAACATTAATTTACAACTCACAATAAAAATGCAATATTAAGTGGAGTCACATAAACACATATATGACACACAATTTAATTTGTACCATATAATGTATACCATTTGTATGTATGTATATAATTATCTAAGCAGTTTAAAAGCCTGTGCATATTAAATACTTCAGAATCACAGTCTCATTCTGAGAGTAACACTCACAAAAGATCTTTGTGCATCTTACAACTTTTAAAATAGGTGGAATACAACAACTGCAAAACCATCCAACATATGGGTCCACTTCCTAATTAATTATTTGCTGGCTAAAGTGTTAAAATGTCCTTGGCTTCACCTTAGACACAATCATCCCAGCTGGTCATTATCTATCTGGAAAGGGGCCAAAGAATCTCAGCTGCCAGTACTGAAAAAACATGTATGTTTTGTTCTTTTTTTCCCCCATTTACTTCACTTTCATATAGCTACACTTAAAAAGACGGAAGTCTTATTATGCATGAAATGAAAAAGATTTTGTATCTATTTCATTGCTGTAACACAGTATACCTGGAGCACAGGCAATAAGTGGAGTGATCAGGAACTCAATACACATTTACTGAGAACTGATTCATTCAACCTTACTAACAATATTTCTTTTATTCTATGGGTGTGATAAAACACAGAAGTCCTCTAAAGACAGAGCTAGAACAAAGTTATCAATTGATCATGTATCTGCATATAGTCAGGAAGATTCAATAGGAAAAATATCCCTCAATCAAGTGAATATTAACAGTCAGCTTGTAGCAAACATAACAGTTAGTTTGCAGTAAACTGCAGACCAACAGGTGGAAAGCAAATGGCTTTTCACATTTGCACATTACTTCTGCAAGAAGCCATAGGACAGCTGAGAGAAGGAAAACATGTAATCAAGGCAGACCTAATGATTTCCTAATTAAAAAGAAGATATTCCCATTAATAGATGAACTAATTGACTAAAATCCAACAGCTTCCCCTCAATACAAGTAAACATAGGTGCCTTTCCTCACTGAACTGTCACAGGTTTAGGCCAGCCACTAAGTTGTCAGTTCTGCTCGATTTGTTTGGATACTGTACTCTGTGACAGCTGTCGGAAATAATACATTAGAACAGCTGTTGTGGCAGTTACAAAGGAACTGGAATTTTAATTGGACTGGATATTAATTGGGAGTGGGATTTTTTTTAACCAAAATAAAGAAACAGTTATTCAAAGAATGACAGATGTCTTTAAGGTATTTGACCAATGTCTGGTAATCAAGGTTGGTCTCTGTTTTAACCATGTAACTTTGTTGCAATGGTCCCCACCACCTTAGCATGAACCATTAGATGCTTAAGAAAAGGGGAATTAAGAAGAAAAATCATACGGAAGTCGTATAAACAATCCTTTGCAAACACTGGTTGTGATATAGAGAGGACCTCACAGTTTTTTAAGAATTACTCAAAAGGAAACTCATTCCTAGACTCTTAATAACCACCAGTTGAAAACAAAACTATTCATCATGGCCAGAACCTAAATCCAAATGAATTAATAAGCTTACTTTCAGCATCAGCACACAGTAGCAAGCACAGGAGCACCACCACTGGCCTGACTACGTGCATCATCCGACAGCTTGGCACCAGCATGCTTTAGCAGCCTTGTTCTCACTGGCTTAGAAGCCACTGCGAGTCTGTCCGGCCTGAAATTTCAGATGAAGTACTTTCAGAGCCTGTGAAAAGATAAAAATAAATTAGAAACAATAGGACAGAGTTTTTCTTTTTTTTTTTTTCCAAAGCATTCACAATTTGAGGGAATAAAATCTTAAATGACAAATAGTAAGGCAAAAGGAAAAAGAAACACAATCCATTTCAGGTTACTGATATATATTAGTACAGTACTGATACACAAGGTACAGTATATGTTAGCACTGTTCCAAAGTATTTCTCAGTGCACCTTTACCACCATAATCAAGCATCTGTCACATCCTGATTCTTCAGTTGTATTCAACAGCACCTTCTGAACCACAGGAATTGATCGTGTTGATGAAGTTTAAGTATAATACATCACTGGAGTACTCATGTTGCAAGAAGGGAATCAAAGTGGATTAAAGATCCATAATAAATCCACATGCAAAGACAATACTGGGAGTTGCCATGGCATTTGGTAGGAATAACACAGTAAAATCTGCTTCATGAGGTGTTACTAGCATATTGCACAATTCAACAACTTTCAAAGGTTAAAATTCCTGTCATGATTTCCTGAATTATGCCTAAAAGAAAAACAGAAATCCAGCACTGAATAAAGAGCTGATATTCCATTTCAATTAATTTCATTTATTATGATGCATAATTGAATATGATATACTGGTAGCACCACAGCTCAAGCACCTGACTTGAAAAAACAAGTCATCATTCCTGTCCAAATTTGCCACACTAACAGAAATTAAGGAATATAAAAATATTTTCCCCTCAGACAGGTAATACTAGACATATCCCTTATCAGCCTGACATTGTCACTAAAATAACATGAAATGCAATCATACCTTCTGAAGGATCTGCAACATATAAGCTTTGTCAATTTGATATTACCTTCATTACTACACAAGTGGTTTCCATGCAGTAAAGACAAAAACAAAGGCAGAGAAAAAAGTATACTAATTATCATTCCACTAAATAGATCTTACAGATTTGTGGGTGGCATAAAGAGCCCATCTTCAGTACAGTGCAATGCTCAGAAGAATTTACTCAAGGAAGAAAAGACATGAGCAGCTGGTAGAAATCTATGCCCGTTACGAATCTCTTTTGTAAAACTATCATTTGTAACAGCTACTGCCATCAAAAAATACCAGCCTAAGAAATCTTCATAGCAAAATGCTAAAGGCATCAGCTCCCCCCTTTCATTGCTACCATCTTCATGCCAGCATTTCAAATGACAGCAAAGTCCATGAGACACCAGTCCTGTCGGACTCAATTTGTGTCTGTGCAGGTTCTGTATCAGAGCCAACTGCTATGTAATGATTCCAATGCTATCACAAAGATGCAGTTGTATGAAATGTACTTTCAAGAAGAGGTGATTTATATTTTGCTTCTTCTGGACCGTAGGAGTTACAGGGGAGCCCCGAGCTATCTCTAAAGGCAGATCACTTGTGAATCAAACTATCTTTTCATTAGCACACAAACACACTAGCTGATGTGTGAAGGTGAATGGAACTAAGTACTCCCCAACTCCTTTTAGGGGAGAAAGAGGAGAGGAAATGACACTGATAATTAATAAGAGGAGCACAGAAGGGGACAAAAATGGTGACCGCAAAGGTACTTGTTTTACAGAACAGTCTTTTAATGGGACACTGGAGATTATTTTCATACATTTCAAGACTCCCATCAAAATATTAAATGTGGTGTCTAACAGAAAACATATTATTGTCTGCTTGGGGAAAAAGGAAGAATTCTAAAAATCTCATGATCTTGATATGTGAATATGCATTTATCCCCTAAGAGCAGCAAAGGAGGGGATGTATCACAAAACCTGGTAACTAAAAGGTTGAGAAGAAAAAGGTGGGTTTTTTTATTATTCCATTCTCTCATTCTAAATGCACATACAACCACTTGGGAATACTGAACTCATTGTCTCTGCTTTGAAGGTAATATTCATTATCAGTCAGATCATAAAAATGAAAGCCCTCAGTACTTTGTTTCTTTGATGCTTCTGATTGTCATGGCTTTAGCTAACCTGATAAACACACTAAAGTTTCCAGGAGACCTTTTGCTGGTTGTCTTCCCTCTTGGCCTGCTTAGGCCTCCACAGCAAACTTCTAGTATTTTAGGTCAAATAAAGAGAAGCACCTAAATAAAGACAGTAGGTGAGTAATTTTTCTTTTAAGTGAGTTGAAGATACACTGTTAATTGAGGCACGCAGATGATGAGCTGATAACACTAGAAAGAAGTAAGCCAAGAGACATTTAGGTTCTATCAAAGTTCTCCATACAAGTCTGCCTCAGCTTTACCTACAAAAAACCCCCAACCTTCAGACAGAGATCCTACTACTGACAAGTGTATAAACATTGACATTAATAATCATGTTGTATGGATGTCTCTGGGCCCCCTGGTGGTCTAGTGGTTAGGATGCGGCGCTCTCACCTCCGCGGCCTGCGTTCGATTCCCGGTCAGGAAACTCCCCCAGGCAGATGGAGCTCGTCAGCCCTGTAAGGCCATCCATCTAAGAGAAGGTCACTCTAAACAAACCTACGTCCTGAGGACCTCACTGCCACTGTCCGAGCTCGCTCGGCCCCGGCAGATGAACCTCAGGATTAAAGGGTGGGCTCAGTTCAGCGCACACTGTGTCTCACCTAAAAAATCCACTGCACAGGCTCGAAGGGTAAAAGACCTTTCCCAAATCTTCGTTCACGAAGACTGGCCATGAATGAATGTATGTCTGTACTTGGCTTATTTGTGCAAATTGACTTAGAGATGCAATTCCTTACAAGGACTAAACGCAATCATCAGGACAATTATCAACTTTCAAATCAAGCCACCTTAATAGTTCCAAAGTGAAATGCTCATCTAAAGCCTTATTAATTATTAAATGACGTAATTCCTTCTCTTTTCTCTTTCCTCCTAACCCCAGTGGTTTGTTACATTCAGTGTGTGGTACCAAAGACAGTGAAAACACAAATAGCATTTGCAGCACCAGGTTATACTAGCCTTGTCATCAGAGGACCAATAATTGCCTTGCAGAATTAATCCAGAGTGAGGTGCTCTATTCGCAGACCATGTTAAAACATTCACACTGTACCAGTGTACAGAAAGATGGTGCTTCTCCTTGGTAGGAGATCACGACTACAGAGAGATCAACAGCTATTTGAAAAAAAAACAACTCTCTTTCTGAAGCTTTAATAAAAGCTGTTCTAATTTTAGGATAAGTACTGCATAACTGCTGTATTAAATAATCAAAAATGACTCTTCCAATATCTCTAAAAGAGTTATCTATGAAACTAGGTAGTATATCTAACAATAACATGTAAGAAAGTAAGAGGATAGATTTTTCCTGATTAGTGTTATCTATTAATAGGATCAATAAAAGTGCAGATGTGCAGCTTCCCAGTGTTCAATGCAGACACAAAAAAGAATTCTCCTTAGTATGAGCACAGCAGATGATAGTACTTGGGCATGGGCACTTGCAACAATTATCCGCAAAGGGATCAACTGGGTGAATCAAACATCTGAACACCAGAATGCTTCCCTGCTGTCTGTTTATGTTAGTAGCAAAAATAATCTTTTAGGTGCTACCACAGTACTCAGGAGATGGTCCTTGCTTCAAGACAGTTATAGGAAATGCACACCTAAAGGCAAATCTTAGAAGCAAAAGTAAAAAAAAGTAAATACTAATTTTATTTTTCTGCTTGCTTTTCCATGCCTGCATGTACATGTAAATGTTTGATAACACAGAAATTCAAGAGGTCTCAGAAAAGACACAAAAAAAAAAGAACTCACAGCAGAGGTAGGGATGCACACGGGAAAAAACACAAACAGTGACTTTTTTTTTTTTGGTAGTTTGGGAAAAAAAGATTGCGAAGGTATGAGAGCTCAATTGTGCCATTACACAAACAGGATTTCTTGATCAACTTTTCTGAAGTTTTGAATTGTTTGGATTTTAATTAATGGCCATCTCTCTTTAGTCCCAAATTCTTCCCATAGAAAGCCTCTATATTTTCCCTTATATTAAAAACAAAACAAAACAAAACGAAACAGTGTTTCTCTAAGAATACCTGGCAACAAAGATTATAACAAGAGACTGCGTTGAAATCTGTTTCTACATTTCATTCATCACACCCACAACCCTAAATTACATCCATGTCCAAGCCACACATTTCTAATACCAGAAAAATGCAAGAGAAGATATATGAAAAACAAATTAAAAATATTACTGGAACTAGTCATGGAAGAAGTGTAAATACTTCATATATTTGCATATCAACAAAGATCCCTCCTTAAAGAGGAAAATAAACAAGACTTCATGGACAAATCTTGGCTGCAAAAACCTGAGTGACAGCTGAATCATTACAAGAAAGAATAGGAAATAATGCATAAAATTAATGCTCATAAGCTCTTTAATCAAAATCAATTCAGAAATACCTCTGGGTAAAACAATATCTTTTAAAGAGAATTAAATGTATTTTCCAAAGCAATGAGGGCAACTATCAGATGTTCAACATTTTGCTTGTTCTTTTATTGATTAAAACAGATAAAAGTTTTCATAGTTGACTTCTGGAAAAATTCCATGTTTCATTATGTTTTTATTCTTTAAAACGCCAAAATGCAAACACATGATAAAGGAAACTTTAAAGAAAGCTATGCTGAGTGTTCCAAAGTTTAGTCTTATCAATCTCTGGATAACAATACACCCTTAATGCTCTTCTATCATTCCTGAATTTCCCTGTTACATTTAATCCAACAGGACTTAACACCCATCCTAGAACAGTAAGTTTCTGACATCATGCAGGCCTTTGAACTACATCGCTATAAAAGCACAAATGAGTTGCAGTGATAGGTAGAATTTTGCTTACAATGAACAACTTAATATATCTGATTCTACATTGTAATTCTATTTCGGACTTCAACAAGGATTCTTCCCTTACATGCAAAATAGAAAATGGATTTTCAATAACCAGAGAAATAAATGAAACTGTTTAGTGAATAAATCAACTCAATGACAGCAAAGCACCTCAAAAGC